TTATGAGTTAATCCACATGGATCTCTTTGGACCAACAAATGTAGTAAGCTTAGGTGGTAAGTCCTATGCTTTTGTTCTAGTAGATGACTTTTCCAGATATACCTGGGTTTACCTTCTTGCATCAAAAGATGAAACCTTTGGTCATTTCAAAAGCTTTATAAACCTCATATCAAATGAATCCAAGAATGGAATTAAAACAATTAGAAGTGACAACGGAGGGGAATTCATTTCTGATATGTTTAGTGAACTCTGTAATGACAGAGGCATTAATCACACGTTTTCAGCACCAAGAACACCACAACAGAATGGTGTAGCTGAACGAAAAAATAGGACCATCATAGAAACAGCAAGAACAATGCTACTTGAATATGGAACACCCAAGTTTCTTTGGGGAGAAGCTGTTATGACTGCTGTATATGTAATAAACAGAGTCTTGATCAGAAAAATCATCAACAAAACGCCCTATGAGATTCTAAAACATAAACAGCCTAACTTGGGGTATTTTCATCCTTTTGGATGTAAATGTTTTATCTTGAATACCAAAGATCACTTATATAAGTTTGATTCAAAGTCTGATCAAGGTATATTTCTGGGATACTCACTTAAAGGACAGGCTTACAGAATTTATAACCTAAGGTCCAAAAGAGTCGAGGAATCTGTATTTGTTAAATTTGATGAATCTGGGAATTCTAACAAAGTTTCTGCAGAAAGTATAAGCTTGCTGTTTCCCATATCTAATGAGGAAGATAAACCTGAAGATGAATTCAAAGATTCCCCACCAGAATCAGCTGAAAAAGGCAAAAATGAAACAGCAGATGATGGGAAAATAGAAGAAGAAGAAAGACAGGCGCCTCCACACATCCAAAAGAGACATCCACCTTCACAAATCATTGGACAACTTCATGCTGGGATACACACCAGAAGTAAGTATCAACCAGGTCAGTATGCCCTCGTTTCAATGATTGAGCCAAGAAACTATAAAGAAGCTCTTTTAGATGATAAATGGTTAGATGCAATGCAAGAGGAACTTGTTCAGTTTGCTAGATTACAAGTCTGGGAACTTGTTCCTCGGCCACTAAATAAATTAATCATAGGAACAAAATGGGTTTTTAGAAACAAAACTAATGAAGAAGGGGAAATCACTAAAAATAAAGCAAGACTTGTAGCTCAAGGTTACTTGCAAGAAGAAGGGATTGATTTTGAAGAATCATTTGCCCCTGTTGCAAGGATAGAATCAATTAGAATGTTATGTGCATTCGCGTGTTTCATGAAAATTCCATTATATCAAATGGACGTAAAAAGTGCATTTCTAAATGGAGAATTAAAAGAAGAAGTATACGTGAGTCAACCACCAGGTTTTGTTGACCATAAATATCCTGATCATGTATACAAACTGTCTAAGGCACTTTATGGATTAAAACAAGCCCCCAGAGCTTGGTTTGAAAAACTCTCATCATTCTTAAGAACAGAAGGCTTCATTCAAGGAAATGTTGATAAAACTTTATTTATCAAGAAAGAAAACAGTGATACATTAATTGTGCAAATCTACGTTGATGACATAGTTTTTGGATCAACTAATTCATCTATGAGCACCAAGTTTAGTAACTTGATGAAGTCAGAATTTGAGATGAGCATGATGGGTGAGCTATCTCACTTTCTAGGGTTGCAAATTAAGCAATTAGACTCAGGGATATTCATTAGTCAAACAAAGTATACTGAATCAATGCTTAAGAAATTTGATATGCACTCAGTAAACCCTAGTACAACCCCTATGGCCACAAATTTGAAACTAGACAAGGATGAAGGGGGAACTCCTTTCTGTGAAAAGAAGTACAGAGGGATGATAGGCTCACTACTGTATTTAACAGCAAGTCGACCTGATATCCAATTTAGTGTAGGTTTGTGCGCAAGGTTTCAATCAAAACCTAGAGAGAGCCATTTCAAGGCTGTTAAAAGAATTTTTAGGTATCTTAAGGGAACCTTAGATATTGGACTGTGGTACCCTGTAACTGATGCATTTGAATTAATTGGATACAGTGACTCAGACTTTGGGGGAAGTCTAGTAGATAGAAAGAGCACAACTGGAACAATTCAAATTCTTGGTTCATCACTCGTGTCATGGTTTAGTAAAAAACAAGGTGCGGTAGCACTCTCCACAGCCGAGGCAGAGTATATGGCTGCTGGAAGTTGTTGTGCACAAATAATGTGGATGAAGGCACAACTTTCAGATTATGGATTTAAGTTTAACAACATTCAAGTATGCTGTGACAACACAAGTACAATAAGTATGACCAAAAATCCAGTACAACACTCTAGAACCAAACACATTGAAATTAAATACCATTTTATCAGAGAGCTTGTCCAAGCTGGTCACATCGAGCTTCAATTCATTAAAACAGAATATCAACTAGCAGATTTATTAACTAAACCTTTGGCAAGTGAAAGATTTCTCCAACTCTGCACAGAAATAGGATTGAGATCCTTAAGCCAAATTAAAGATCTTTAAAAGACAACTCAGTTCTCTATGTCTTACATGCACTGGTGGAGAAAAATCATGATTACAAATCTCTAAAACTAAATCTATGTTTCAGTAAGCTGATTGGAGTATTAGTTTAAAGCATCTTTTGCGTGTCTTGGTTTACACAAAGCAAACCGCTCCATTTCGGCTCATGCCTGTCTCGTCCAATGCACCCTTTCTTTTTAGCCTAATCATTTCACAAACTAGAGTCTGCTGAGACTCTTCAGCTTCCAGGACCTCTCTGATCTTTTCTTCTATAAAAGGAGACAGTGATATCTGCCTATCTCACACTGCTCTCAAAACTCACCCATCATCGTGTTTACTCCCACAAACTTCGCCTTCAAACCCCAAAATGAGTGACCATCTTCCCCGTCCTTTCCGTTTTGATGGACTGGTGCACACATTTTCTGGCTACATGTTTCATGAGCCTTTAGTTGTCAACCACCATCGCTACCTCCAGCATTTCGACAAACGAAGGCTGCACCACACCACACAACTCGATCCATATGAGTTTAACCTCTACAAGTATGATATAGTGTCCCTCATTGAAGGACTCGGATGGGATTTTTTACTCCGCCAGCCTGTGCACCCTGCTTGTCCGGGTGCAGTCAAGTACTTTTATTCAAATCTTAAGAGTCCTGGTATCAGCTCTAGGAGCTTCACTACTCTGGTTTATGGCCATCTTCTGACCATACCAGTAGAAGCTCTAAATGGGATTCTGGGGTTTCCTTCCCAAGGACTTGGAGTTGCTCATCCCTCTGAATTTTGGAAGCACGAGTTCAAAGTCGAGGTGGAATATGGCAATTTCTCAACTGAGCCCACTGGAGGTTCAGATATACCTATTCCTGTCTGCTGGCTGCCTCCAAGGTTGAGGATCTTTCATCATTTCATCACCCATGTCCTTTTTCCCCGAACGTTCAACCAAGACAGAGTTCTCCACATGGATCTGTGGATTATTGCAAGTGCAACTGCTCGACGAAAGCTGGACTATTCGAGCATTGTGTTTGGTCAAATGTTGCCAGTTGGTGATGAAAACTACAGAGGGTTGATTCCTTTCGGGTCACTCATTACTCGACTTCTAATCAACCTCGGTGTCGATCTCTCTGAATTTAGGAGTGTCTCCTCCACCATGTACATCAGTGCACTCAATGTGCTGATGGTTCTGGACCTTCCCTCTGATATCTCTCCTCCCCCTCAACCTTCTACTTCCCTTCTCGGTCCTCCTCCCAAGTCCTCTGGCATCAAGAAAACCAAGTCTGTTGGTGAATCAAGCAAAGCTGGCGACTTGGTATTTACCATCTCTGAAGGGGACTCGTCGTCAGACGAATCTGCTGCCACTGCTCCTGCCTCCTCTCCGGCCTCCTAATTCTCCTTCTGTTTCTCTTTCGTTCTGTTATTTGATCATCCTGTTGGAAGGATTTGTTATTTAAGTTTGTAGTCTTCTAGGGTAATCTGCTTAGGGGGAACTTTTGCCAGGATTATATCCTGATGTTTTGATGGTCCTGTTTCAGGACAAAGCTTTATGTACTTCTGCTTTTTATTAAATGAAATTTCCCCCGTTATTCTGGACTGCCTGTGCTGCTGTTTCTCTGTTGTTTTTGTTTTTGCAGTGGACTTCTCGGATGAAGAGGGAAATTGTTGACCCAAAACGACTCCTCTACTTGCAAACTAAATCCACACGTCGACGTTTTGGTTCGTCCTCTCCCATAACAAAGTGACGTCGTTTTGGCCTAAGAGATCATCCTTCGAAGTCAACTTCTGGACTCCTCGCTTGCTGATCACAGACCAGCAATCTCGATCATTTCGCCTCTCTTCTTCTCTCGAAATCCCTAGCTTTCCTATATCCCGCTCCTCCTCGCACCGACTCTATGCGAGAAACATCATTTAGGCTACTGCAAGACTGATTCTAGGTAACGGTCTGCTTCTCCCCTTAGTATAAAGATGTATGTTCTTCAAACTGTATAGATTGTACTTTTGAGAGGGAATTGTGAGAACTTCTGGGTTGAGGATTTCTTTCAATTTAGATCAAAAGGGTATTTTCATTCCAGTAGAAAGAATCGCAGGGTATCTGTTTGTACTGGGCGGTTCAATCTTGGGGAGTGAGTGATTGTCGAGTGATTTTCTGTTTCTCTGTTCAAAAGAGCCAAGCTGCTTGGCTTGGCTTAGTGTTGCTTGTACTGAACATTTTCATTCAAATAAAAGTCGCATTTTCAGTTCAAGAGTTGATTATTGTTTAAATCATATCACACTCTGATTTAACAAAATAGTCCGGACCAAATAGCCAACCCTAAAGGCTAGTAAGAAAAATGGGAAATGTGAGAGATATCTATATATATAGTAGTCCAATACCAGTTTGAACCAAAAGAACAAATATATATAGCAAAAAAGTAAAACGAAATAAGGAAAGGGATGTTATGGGAGGTAATGGGAGGAGAATGAAATGAAAAAACAGGACAAAGATATATATGGTAGCTCGTCATCATTAGTAGTGTTGATATCGTCGTGTTTCCTCATCTTCGAACGAACTCTCTAGCAGCTCCTCCAACACACTGTCATCCAAGTACTCGAACTCAAACACCTCCTTATTCTCTTCCCCTCCGCCGCCTTCGCCCCTCGTCGCCGCCGTGTACGAAGACGAGCTGCTCCCTCCCACAAAACCATACACGCCGGCGCCGCCAGCTCCACCCCACGTGGAAGGAGGTTGGTGGTGACACGTGGCGGCGCTCATGGCCTGCCAGTAATACTCATTGGGGAAGTTGAGGATGGCGAGGTGTCCCCTCATGTTGAACGCGGCTCGGTCGTAGGCCTGAGCCGCCTCCACCGCCGTGTCGTACGTTCCCAGCCACAGCCGGGCCCCTTTCCTGGCCGGGTCACGTATCTCCGCCGCGTACTTCCCCCACGGCCGCCGCCGGATGCCGCGGAACTTCAGCTCCTGATGACGGTGCCCGACGACGTCGTTCTTCATTGTTGCTTTCTTTTTTTTTTCCCCCCGGTTTTCCTTCGCTTTATCGGTGATGAGGGATTTGTAGTTAGTTTCTTGAGTGGAGTTGTGTAGTTTACGTTCAAGGTTGGTGGCAGTGCATATTTATAGTGGCTGGCTGGCTGGAGTGGAGATAATGAGTGTGTAATTATTTTTTTTTTGCTATTATTTTATGTGGTCGGCTGGACTGACGTATGAAGTTGACTGAATTCCATTACTTCATCGACCTTCCACTGGAAACTGCATATTTTGAAGGAAGAAAGAGATAAAGCTGGAGGCTGGTCTCGTCTCAGTCAGGTCTGGGATGCAGGCTGTACAGTTTCCTACTTTCTTCGAAGGTTCTCAAAATTGGTAGCTATGGCTATAGGAGCATGGATATGGTTTTGATTAATTGTTCGAGCTTTCCCAAGATGGAATGGAATTCAAAACAACATCCAGTAATTTTCTTTTTTGTTCCACGGATAAGGCCTTCATGGTATCACTTGACTGTGACGAGATATTGCTTTACCACAGCATCTGCAAAAGCATTATGTGGTACTCAATATGCAATTGTATAAGGTAGTGGCGGACTCATAATTTTTTAAAAGGTGTGTTAGTCGAGAAAAATAAAATAAAATAATTCATAGTATACTGTATACATATTTTCATTGTTTTTTCGCAGCTAGCAACAAATTTGTATATTATGAGAGGTATGTGAAATATATGCATCGGTTATTTTGCAACTCGAATATTTTTCAATGCGTACAACCCAACAATTATTGATTAATTGGTCACGAATATGATATCCGCTATAATTTTTTTACCAAAAAAAAAATCATTTCGTTATTTGTAATTACAATAAATATGTCTACTACAAAATTTGGAGTTGTGTGGGAGAACATAATTTAAAATTTTATATTGACGGAACATGAATTTTTCATCGGAATCCAGGCCCAAGGTGTGCCGCTTGACATACCTTCCCTTAACCTAGGTTCGCCCCCGACAAAGGGGTATGCACAAATGTGATGGACACTTGCAAAGATGCAAGTTTGTATTTGATGAAATTTAAAGTGCAAGCCATAAAAAAAAAATTTATTTTATTTTTCTCAGTTTATTTATTCATTTTCATTTATAATAAAATATATTGGACCTACCTTATATGCAGCTGCAAGTGAATTGTTTATGTAGGCGCTCATACATATGCCCAATCATAGAGATTTAATGTTGAAGTTTTTGATAATTTAAGTTATCGAGATGAATTAGCGACTTAAATAAAATGTATGAAATGATCAGATAAAAATACAACAAGAGTGAGACAAAATTTTTACTTTTGAGCATCAATCTCTGATTAACATATGTCGAAATTATCGAATGAAAAAAGAATGTTGTTAATCGGTCATATTAATCATCCAACTATTGAGGTTTCTTGTGACCCAAACAATGGCATAATTCACAAAAAAAACTTTATATTTGAAACACTCTTTATAAGTGTATTGAATATATTAAAAGGAAAAAAAAAATGTGTCCATGACAAGATTAGTGAAAAATGCAAGTAAAAACAGTGTCCCCTAAATAGGGCACTTAAAAGAAGATAATAAGAAAACTGTACAAATATTAATGGCGTCGTCACTTAACAAAAACCAAGGGTTAGTTTAGATGTTGCGATTGTTAATATAATATAATATAATATAATATAATATAATATGTGTATTGATGAATTTTGTTGTATTGTAAAATACAACGAATTGGTATGTGATTGTGTATGGCATATTAGCAAAAAGTTGAGATAAAACAATCTTAATTTAACTATCTTAACAATCTCAACATAAAGTTGAGATAAAACGATCACTCGTTTTGAGTGATAGTTTCTGCCACATATATCACAGAACAATCTATGCATTGTGTTTGCTAAAAAATTATAATGAAAAAATCGATACTTTCTAAACAACAAGAGTATAGTGACAATCTCACAGATTCAATCGTACCTTTCAAACTAAAAAAAAAAAAAAAAAGTAGTGAAGGTGCTCCTCCATGTATTGATTGTACGTGCTACCGTTTTCTCATCTTCTTCTTGTGTATGGCCAATGAGCATGAAAACTCTGTTTCTGTTGTCTTAACATGCACTCTCATTCTCTCAATCACTTCACCATCGTCAGCTCTGCTTATTAGGAAACCCTCCACTTTCTTCTCTCAACCTCATAGTAATATCCTTCTCAACAGGTGTCCTCCTAAATACTTGGTTGATACAGTTACATGTCTGGGATACCAACTGCGTCCCTCATTTCAGGTGTAGAGGTTTTTGGTCTTATCATCTGTTCCATTTGGACTCTACATGTCAGGACAGTGTGTTGCAAAGTATTTTGGCAAGTCAAGCAGAGGAGATTGAAGTCCAGGAGACGACTCAGGTTGTGCCTGAGTCTATTTCCCCTTCATCAAATGGGGGAGTTCGGGTGAGTTTTGCAGAGGTGGTGAAGGGATCATCAGCCATAGCTGGAAATCCTGCCACACCTATGCAAAGCCTGGGGGCTTTAAACCAATGACTGCTTTACCGTACCATGCCGGTCGGTTGAACCGGAAAAACCGGGAACCGAGCCATGAACGGTATGACGGAGAAGACTGCCGTAGGACTTGCGTACCGGCCGGTATTATCGGTGGAACTAGAGTGCTGCGAGATACCGTCCGGTTTTAATCGTGCCGGCGGTTCTTGGGAGACTGGCCAAATAATTTTTTTTAGAGACTGGAAAATCCTAGGGTAGCAGTAGAGGTATCCAGTATTCCCTCTCGCCGTCTTCCCCTGCCCCTAGCAACTGGCGCATCCTCAAATCGCGATCCAGCAGCTGTTCGTCCGTCGCTCGTCTCTCTAGACTCTCCAATCCAAATCGGTCCTTTGTCTTGTCGCCACTCGCCAGGGCCGTTGTCCTTTGCCTCAAGCCTCAAAGTCATCCAATCAACCCCGTGCTCCACTTTCTAGCTCGCCGACTCCATCTGTGGTGAACCTTTTCTGTGGTTCTGGTGAGAAAGAAAAGACAAAGGAAAGAGAAGTCATCCAAACAGCCTTAGTTTCTTACTACTGCAAAATTTATATGCATAGTGAAAGAGGAATGCTCCGATTGAAAAAAAGAAGAAGCAAAAACAGAGCTTTATCTTGCTTCTCAAGGTCGGCGGAGAGGGGAGAGAGCCAGTGAGAGAAGCGAGATCGAGGGCCATATTTTCTGAATTTGTTGATCTAGGTTGATATCTTATGGAGGAAAAGCTACATGCATAAAGAAAGAAATCAGTGCTTTGATCGTCAGAAGAGAAGAAAGAAAAAACAGAGCTTCATCGTGCTCTGGGTTGGGGAGGAGAGAGAGTTAGATAGGGAAGAGAGAAAGTAAGATATGTGGTAGGTGTAGTCGTGTACAGATAATGGAAATAAGTAATTCAAAAAGAAAGAATAAATAAGTGGGAAATTAAATGATTACTTTTTTAATTATTTGTAATCACAATGACACAATCGACAAATAGAGAGCAGAGAAATGATTTTTAAATATTTATAGTAGAGTTATATTTTAACGAGTTCAACTATTTTTCACCATTCGGATTTTCAATATTAATTTTATTTATTGTTATGGTATGTACTATTTTGATACTAATTACATTGTAAATATAAAAAATAATTATAATAATATTATAATAGCGCTCTCATCACGCTCTCATTATTGAAAATTTATAATATGGACGCTCTCACGCTTTTGCTTTCGCTCCTGCTCCACGAACTGGTTACCTAAGTTGGGAGGCGTGGGGGACATGACAAAAGTCCTTATTCTTTTTGTTTTTTTAGCTTTTATTCCGGTATATTTCCTCTTTTACAGTTTCTTAGGCGGTATAATCCGGTATTTTCCCGGTATGGTACCCTAATTTTGCCGGCACGGTTTTTTAACAAAAAAATAATTTTTTTATTCCAAAAACGGTATTTACCGGTAGGAAATGGTTGAACCATGGTTGTACCACGATTTACCATGCCAAAGACGATTCCGGTTTGATGTCCGGTACGGTTTCTTAATCCATGCTTTAAACTATCTTCTATGGAAGGGAGTTTAAAAGCTCAAGGCACTGCTCGAGCTATACTTCCTACGGGTTCCAGGTTTTCAGTGCTAGAAAAGGAAAATATGGCTCCTGGTGAAGCAAACAAAGGGAAGAACATCTGGATTGATCCTCTTGAGGTAAAGAAGAAAGGTAAAGGTGGTGGTAGAGGTAGACTTCGAAAATGAAGATATTATCATGCAATACAAGAGGGTTTGTAGATGATAGCAAGTATAATAATATACTAAAGAAGATAAATAAGTATACTATAGATATAGTAGCGGTATTGGAGCCTCGGGTAAAGCTAGCTGATGAAAAGAAGATGCTAAAGAAAAGATTTGTGAATTGGAAACAGAAGATTTTCTATAATGAAAGTGGCCTTGGGAAGCTGTGGTTGGTTTGGAAGGAGGATGTCAAAGTGCAAGTTCTGGGATTCTCAGAGCAATTTGTCCATGTTCTGGTGGGAGATGTGGTGCCTTTCTTTGTCTCATTCATTTATGCTTCAAATTTAGAAGTTGGAAGAAGGGAGATGTACAGAGAGATTGTAGGGTTGAAGGTACAAAATCGCCCATGGTTAATAATGGGGGATTTCAATGCCATTAGGGATCCTAGTGAGGGGTCAAATAATCCGATACAGTCAGCAAGCATGACTGATTTTAATGTGGCTCACAGAGATGGAAGTAGAGGAGCACAAGTTCACTGGCCCTTGGTTTACTTGGTTAAATAGGCAAGCTAACAACCCTATTGCCAGGAGGTTGGACAGGGCTTTTGTCAATCTGGCTTGGCTAGATGAGTTTAAGGATAGCAAGGTTCATATTCAGAAACCTGGGGTCTCGGATCATTGTCCAGTCTTTGTTCAAACAGATGTGCCAGTGAAGTCACTGCCTAAACCGTTTAAGTTTTTTAATTTTTGGCTGGAGCATCCGAGGTTTGGTGAGCTGCTACATGAAGCATGGAATCAGGAGGTTACTGGATCCCCTATGGGGAAAGTTTATAATAAGCTCAGACTATTAAAAGGGATGCTTAAAGTTCTTAATAAGGAGGAATACTCTGATTTAAGGCAGAAAGTGAAGGATAAGGAGGTAGAGCTGGAGGACAATTCAAGAATTAACACTAGCTGACCCTACTCCTATATTGGCTGCAGAAGAGGTGCAAGTAGCAAGAGAGTTACACGCTCTGTTGAAGGTTGAGGAATCATTCCTGAGGCAAAAATCTAGGGAGATATGGTTAAGAGGTGGGGATTCAAATACCAACTATTTCCATAGATCTATGAGAACGAGGCAGAAGAGAAACACCATCACAAGTCTTATTTCTGAGACTGGAGATAGGGTTACAAAGGTAGAAGAGGTGTGAGGTAGTAGTGAGTTTTTACAAAAAGCTACTGGGGCAGGTTAATGCTGAGGTAGAAGGGGGTTCTGTTGAGTTCTTCAAGTCTATACTACAGCATACAGTAAGCAACAGAACTCAGAAGTAGGTTGGAATTGATTTTGTGAACCAAACAAGTGAACTTCAATTGGTACTCCTTCACTTTCAGCTTTGTTAAAAAAAAAGACAAAAAATTTATCTATTGTAGAGCTACAAAATAAATGAGCGAGTTTAAACAAAAGACAACAATTTATTACTATAAATAAAGATGAAAGTGTATTGCATAACAAAACTCACTTGGTCGAGATGGTAAAAAATTCTTCTTGCAACTGAATGATCACTGATTCGAATTTGTATATACCCCTACTCTGAAATTTTTTCTCCAAACCCAACGGGGTGCAAGCACCCCCTACTCTCCAAGTGGCTCCGGCCGCCACTGCATATATGAGCGGTCTTTAAAATGACCATATTATAATACGTCCTACTTAAGAGCAGTGACGGAGTCAGAAATCTAAACGAGGGGGCTAAAAATTAAGTTCAAGGGATTTGAACTGGTGAAAAAGGACTAAAGTCTTATCAGCTACTCTATTTTTCAAATTGTTACAAAATTTGTAAGTGAGCTCAATTGCAAGATTTGAGGGGACTATAGCGGCTTATAGCTATAACGCGCGTGGCTCCGCCACAGCTTAAGAGAAGAAAAAGATGTTGCTGCAGCCACTTAGCTTGTTTTGCGTCTTATTCACAGTACAGTAAGCAAAATCCGGGATAAGCTACAGAAACACAAGTAAACTAGACCATAGTTGTAAGAACCCATTAGATCATCGATCGTCCTCAGTTATTAGTCCTATAATATCCATGTTTTGTCCCATCTTCAGACGAACCGTCTAGCAGCTCCTCCAGCACGCTGTCATCCAAGTACTCGAACTCAAACACCTCCTTATTCTCTTCCCCTCCGCCGGCGCCGTTGCCCCTCGCCACCGCAGTGGACGCTGACGAGCCAGCTCCATCCCACGTGGAAGAAGGCGGTTGGTGAGAGTACGTGGTGGTCCCCATGGCCTGCCAGTAATATTCGTTGGGGAAGTTGAGGATGGCGAGGTGTCCCCTCATGTGGAACGCTGCCCGGTCGTAGGCACGAGCCGCCTCCACCGCCGTGTCGTACGTCCCCAGCCACAGCCTCGCACCTTGCCTCGCCGGGTCCCGTATCTCCGCCGCGTACTTCCCCCACGGCCGCCGCCGGACGCCGCGGAACTTCAGCTCCTGCTGGTGGTCGTTCGTCGTCGTTTTCTTGGTTTCCTTCCCTTTGTCCATGCTGATCGAGGGCTGTGGTTAGTTTCTCGAGTGTAATTGTGATTTACGTTCAAAGTTGGTGGCACTGCATATTTATAGTCGCTGGAGTTCGAGTATTATTTTCGCTTTTATTTTATGGGGAATTTCGTGTGGCCGGCCCTACCCTAACGAGCAACAACACATGATTTAGTTATGTTTGCGATTATTCACATAAATTAGTGCTTATTTACGGCATGCTGATTTGTATTCACGTAATAGTAGTGATGTTCATGCAAACAATAATATTTATATATTCACCTTGCTTAGTGTTTATTCATGCTTATTATTCATTTTTTGTAAAATTAATTTTTAAATTTTGAAATATATCAAAATGAATGTCATTCTATACAATCAATATTGCAACTCATTTTACAGAAAAAAAAAACTGAAAAATCAAATTTAATTCCACAAAATATGGCTAAGAGAAATTATTAGTGAAAAAAGAGAAAAATATGGATATCGTTTCCGCGAATAATCATAAGTATTCTTCAGAAAATAAACACCTACCTACGTGAATAAACACCAAATATTGTGAATGTACGCAAAAATACACGAATCAGACTCTTTGGGTGCCACCAAATCTTCTTCTTATTTTATGAGGTCAGAACTGACGTACTGAAAAGTTGACCGGATTCTACTGCTTGGATGACCTTCCTTGAAAGTACATATTTGAACGAAGAAATAGATAAGCTATCTGAAGGCTGGTCTGGGTCAGGTCTCAGATGCTTGCTGTTTAGCACTGCTCGCTGCTTTCATCGAAGGTTCGTAAATTGGTGGCTAGGAGAGTATGGTTTAGTTGTTCGAGCTTCCCGGCCAGGATGGTAATGGAATTCAAAATGCAGAGATGATCAACGTCTACTATTCAATATTCTTGCCCTGATTTGGTTCTAGCATTTTTTGTTGTTCTCAGGATGAGATCTTCATGGTCTCCATCGACTGTAAGTGAGACGATGCTTCCTGAAGGCAAGTTAGCTCTCTTTTTTTGCTAATACCACTACAACACCCGAACTATCCGAAAAATACCACTTGTGTCCTATTGTTTTCAATATTTCATCTGTGTCTTGAACTATTATTCCGTTAGTGTTGACCGGCGTTTACCGTTAGTATTTAACATAAAATCCAGTCAGTGTTGACGTGGCATTTGACGAGGAATTTTTCATTAACAATATTCATTTATTTTTCCATCTAAAATAATTAAAATAAGGAAAACAAAATAAAAATGAAGGAAAATTACAAAAATAAAAAAATAACTCAAATCAATTCACTTTTTTTTTTCTGCAACTTCTGAAGAAAAATCCGCTGTAGAGGCTCGAGAGGATCCGTAAGAGAGAGGGAAATCGTAGAGAGAGAGGGAAATCGGCAACGATGAAGACGGGACTAGAAAGGATCCGAGAGAGGGAAATCGGAAACGATTAAGAGAGAGGAGTCCCCGTAGGCGGCTTCGTTTGGGAATCGGAGTTGGCGGATTTGTGCTGAGCGTCGCCTTCTAGCTCACGCCTTTCCCGTTCCCAGAGTTTCTGGTTTGGAACGAAGCTCTCCGAAGTTCTGGTCAATTTCTGCTGCCGCGACGACGAAAGCGAGGAGTAAAGGAGGCTGACTCACGACGGAATCGCGATGGATCTGGTGACGGATTCGTCGCCGGTCAATGGAAGGCTCGTCTCTCCGAGCTTAGAACCGCCAGTAGGAGGCGACGATGGAGATGGATCTGGTGACGGATTTTGCCAGAGTCACGATTCACAACTCCTTTCTCCAGCTGCAGGTCCCGGCGAGTTGCAATTATCCCCGCCGCCAATCCCGTCCAGATCCCCAAACTCGAAATTAGGGATTGCAAACGAAGGTCAAGCTGGCGGAACGTTGTTTGCACCAGTGGCGACTCTTCCACCCGCTTATCCTCAGATCCCTGTGGCGATTGTTCTGGCGGTGGTGGAGGAGGCACATTTTCCAGTCGAGAGAAGAGGAAGAACGGAGGCGGAGAGAAGAGATCAGGTTAAAAAATAATATTAATTTTAGGTTAAAAAAATATTCTTGAATTTAAAGTTTTTTCAATTTTTTATTTTCAAAGTTTTATTTAATTTATATTAAAAATGTGAGGTGCCAATGGCTTGGCATTGCTCCGTAAGCAAAAGTCAATGTTAAGTTGACCGCCATTTGGTCAACTGTTATCTTTAACGGTCAACGAAATTGGCAGAATACAAATGGCACAAAATATAACAGTTCATGACATGAATTGAATGTGAGAAACAATAGGACACAAGTGACATTTTCCAGATAGTTTGGGTGTTGTAGTGATATTAGTTTTTTTTAAAGAGGTAATTTAGCTCATGCATAATCTCTCCTACTATGTTCTAAAGTATAAATGTTTTGATATCATGTTTGAATATATCATGTGTCTCTTTAGATACCCATATCGAGGTTCCATTAGGTGATAAATTGGGCCATGATCATATCAATAATTATGTTTTGATATCATGTTTGAATATATCATGTGTCTCTTTAGATACCCATATCGAGGTTCCATTAGGTGATAAATTGGGCCATGATCATATCAATAATTATTTTAATTTTCGATATGGTGAAATTTGTATTCCGGTCAGTACTGGTTGTTTTGCTTAATTTCAATTCTTATTTTCATAGACTTATTAGGGGCGGTTAACTTTATGGATTTGGATGATAAATTTGGTATACAAATTCATTCCACCATGAATTTAAGGGAAATCCATTGTTTGTTTGCTTTTAATGTAGGGACCAATTCGTGGGCGGCACGGACTTGTAAATCCCACATATTGATGTGGTATTTGGAATAAATCATAAATCCAAGATAAAATTTTATTAATATATCTAATGAGCTTTTAATATTACAATGTTGCCCTCGCATTTACCTATTGTACATTATAATTAATCAATTAATTAAGAATAAATTAATATAAATATTCAATTAATCTGCAAACATGAGTTAGATTTTTATGTCATTTCTTGTGTTTCAGTTTCCTTTGACCTTTTCATAGAACATGATATTCTTTGTTCTCCCGGTTCTAATATATGTTGCTATATATGTTACTTTTGAAAAGGACAAAGAATTGATAACTGATATATGTCATGTAAAAACTTGTACGAAATTTCCGTGTTTATTATTATTGTCCTTGTGGCAACATTATGCTTATTAGTAAGTATTGTCCTCGTTTTGTGTACATATCATAAACATGACAAACAAATTGAAAAGGATAGTAAGGTAATTTTGGAATTTAAGTTATAAATTACAAACCCTCTTAACACCATATAAAATATCTCAACAAACAAATGATTGTTACAAATCCATAATCCCTCAAATTCTTGAAAAATAATTAGCTTTTTAAATTATAAAACCCCATTTTGAATTTTAAATCCACGAAGTAAACGACCCCTTAACTTTATAATCTAGACCTATCTATATCTAGGGTAGGTTACTATGGTGCAACTAATATGGTATACTAGTTTTGAGGGAGCTCAAATCTAAGGGGTGGGATTAAAATTTTATATTTTAAATCTACGTGTAACTCCTTTGTTTTATAGTGAATTTTGAAATTCTTTGCACATTATGAATGGGCTCATTGTGATATATATATATACGGATGATTCTATTCACTACAAGAAATTAGGTATTTTGTGACGCACCCAATTTGTCATTTTAGTGTGCCAGTTTGTCACTTTTTGTCTAATGTGACAAGTGTTATGACAAAAAGGCCTTATCAGCTTTGCTCCGTCGTATTAGGTCTAATGTGACAAAGTTTAATTTTTAGGTTGTCATAATATTGTTCAGCCAACTTGACAATATATCGTTGTCATAATATGTTGTCCTACCATGACGAAAGATCTTGTCACATTAGACTGTTAATTTTGTCACACTTTAATACAACCAACTGACTGAACGAGATATTATGAGGGAACTGTTTGTCATTCACATTCGTCACTTTAAGCTGTAGGGCACGTGCCCTCAGAAATCACATATGATAAAATAATTTTGTCATATTTTATGTATTCAGTGACGGTCCAGTTTGTCATAATATGGATCTGCTTTGTCGTAATACCATTGTCATAAACTGATAATGGAACATTGTCATAATTTGTTCGTTCCTGTAAGCAGTAAATGTGACAAGCGAAATACACATAAAATATGTCATAAAACAAGCCGACAGTCACATTCATTTAGAAAACGCTGAATATTCAAGGTCCTAGCTCCCAGCTTACAAAGACGCAAAATAGATAATATTCCTGCATCACATCACACACTCCTACATTCTGTTCGACACAACCATATTGTCCAAAATGGGTTTGCAGCCGACAACTACTTATAAATAATTCCGTTCAGGAAAACATTCACTAAGACGCAACCTCCTCAAGTCATATGAACACACGGTCGTGCAGGGATGCGTCCACACCTGCAATTGCAATTTGAGAAGAAGCTAGATTGAGACTTCACATTCGTGCATAATTGTTCCTAACAGATTGACTAAGTTCTATAGATGAAATTCATGCATTCAATAATAGCTATGTACCTGGTGCAATCATTTCCTGCTGAGTTTGGCGAGGACGGTTTCCATACTCTTTTGCATCTTCTCTTGTGCCAAGCGCATTTGTTCCATCTTTTTCCCTTGGTTAGCCAAACGTTCATGTTGCAGATCAAGCTCTACTTTATGTTTTTCAATCTCCTCATCCCGAGCTTTAATCTTCTCATCCTGCTCTACCAGCTTGGCCTCCAACTCCTTGGTCTTACTTTCCGCCTCTGCCTTTGCTGCTGCCAGATATGCTTCCAGCTGAACTTCTCTTGCCGACTTCCTCACTGCTTCTTTAGGTCCATACTTGAGCTTCCTCTGCAAGACCTTCTGAACGATGTCGCGACCCAGCAGTGGATTCCCATCTGCCTTTGCTTGGGCATGGAGGGCCAGCATCGCCTCCTATATTGCACCAAAATAAAAGTCAACACCCAAATATACAGGCCACAACAT